AGTCAGTGGCGACAGGTCTGATGGAGTGATGAGTCCAAATTTCTTTTTTTTTTTGTTCAGATCGTCAGTCTCTACAGCTGCCTATAAAACATGGTGGAGGCTCTGTCATGGTTTGGGGCTCTATTTTAACCAGTAAAGTTGGGGATGTTGTCAAAATTGGTGGAATTATGAACACAAAAAGCACACAACACTGGCTGTATTGAAGAACAAAGGCGGTCATACCAAATATTGACTTTCAAGCTCATTATATACTGTATACTGTTATATACTGTGATTCTTCCCTCAGCTCTCTTTAAGCGTTCCCTGTCTAACCCAACCCGTGGCATCCTTTTCTGTCACACCAACCCTCTACATGTCCTCCTTCACTACATTGATAAATCTGTGTGTTCCCCTTTTCCTTCTGCCCAGTAGCTCAATTTTCACCGTTCTTTTGTTGCGGCACCCATTTCCCATTTTCATAGGAGAGTGTGAAGAAATGGTGGCGCATGGCTTTTACATAACACTGTAGCTTCTGGGCCTAAAAAGGACGCCAATGCCAAGTGTCTTAAACATGCTTTCTTTTTAATGACCATCAGGGGGTGATAGGTGCAGGTGTAAAGAAAACCTGGTCTTATAAAAGTCTATGGGAAAACAGCCCTCTGACCTGTCCCAGGTAAACACTTTGCTGATGCGTTTAGGAGCACAGTCACTCATTTCAGGCTTCCCGCCTCCCAGCTTTTCTTGTAAACTGGGCTGAGCAGGCCATTGCTGCTTTGCGGGGCTTTTGTATGAAAACAGAGCCTTAAAATGCAGCCAGCTAAATGTAGAGACTGTGGAGGAAGTCAGATAAAGTGAACTAAACAGGGTGAAACTGTGTGGAAAATGATAAACAAACCACAGAGCCTGGCATTATTTTGCAAAGTTAAATACATATTAACTCAGAACACCATTTCCCCCACCTCCCTTCTGATCAAAGTGCTACATGCAAATATCTAATCATGCACATTCTTCTCCCATTATGGTGATTTAAGCCACTTGTGATACAACAAGAATTCCTCTCACTCTCTTTTGTTTATGTGAGATAAATGCACTGCAACTTCCATGACCTACTCATTCATCTCGGCCATCTCCTTGACCGCCTCCACTCCTCCTGGTAGCGGGTCCAAGTCTATGAAGAAACCTTTGGACTCCCAGATGCTGATAGCTTTTTCCTGGAGTTTAAAAAAAGGAAACAAAACACATGCATACAGCTTATCTGCAACCGTGTAAATTAATCAGGTGCATGTACAGTATGTGTATCCACGTGAGTGTTCATGAGCCCTGAAGAAGTAAAGTCCAAAAGGCCAACTTCTGTGGACATGATTACAAGGTAGCACTTTGCTTCTTGCTTGGAGTAGGTGAATTAAGACACTGAAGGAAACACATAATCAAATGGAGTAGTGAGTGAACTGCTCAACACTTCACATTACAGTGAACCACAAGGAAATCGAGGTTGAGTCATTCATCCACACAAACCAATTCAAGAATGCGCATCCATGGCTGTGTCTACACATGAAGCGGGGGTGACACCAGCCCCTTAAAAGTCCCCCAATCCTAATTAATGCTACTGAGCTAGAGCGCTGTTAATCTCACAATCCCCAGAGCCATGGGATGAGAGCAAGGATAATGCCTGATTTAGACTTCTGTGGGAAATCTACACTGTAACTGTAAACTCCTATGCCATAACCTTCCATGCCATATAGTCTGACCCGACATGTAGTTACATTTCTCGGGTTACGTGGAAGTTTGTGGAGTACGATTAAACTATTTATTGTTTCTTTTTAACCAGAAACATTTAAAGGTATTTCCAGTTTCAGTTATACTATGATGTAGATTTGCCGCAGAAGTCTAAATCATGCATGAGACCAGTAGTAGACTGCAATGTAGTACATGTGATTATTCTGCTTCCACTGTAAAAATTCCAGCATTTAATGTCCATTCATATTATGCTACTTTCTTCTAATTTTCACTGTATTCTGGATGAAAATATTGCAATGCAATAGTCCAATACTTACTAAGAAGATTAGAAGGTACTGAAAAAGTGGGGCCATCTTTTGTTTTTTGTTTTTCAGAATTCTGACAAAAAAAATACATTTTTCCCAGTGGCCATAATCCTCTTCCATAAATACTCCTGTACCACCTTATTGAAAAGGTCCCAGTCCAGAGCAGTCAGAAACTTGACTGTTAACCATATGTAAATGAGACAGACAATCTTTTGAATTAAAACTTGTAAAAAATAAAAATAAAAAACCCAAATCGAGAAAGCCTAAGTTGAATTTCAGCCACTATATTTAGTGCTGCTGTCACTCACACAAAGGTCACTCCTCAGCTGCCCGTACTGCGTTGACACCCAAAACCCTCTCCTGTCCTCCAGGGTGATGTAGGGCTCCGTCGGGTACCTGGCCCGATACTTCTTCAGGAACCCCCCCTCGAAGTCCGCCAGGACTCCGTCCATGTCCACCAGGACCCGCAGTCTCTTCCCGGAACGAGAGATGAACGACATGTTTGCGCAAATCCTCTTAATGGGATCTCGGAGCAAAGTTTTCCCTCTTCCTAGTAGGCGTGTTGCACTAAGCAGCAACATTTTTCACGCCCTCGGTCTCTGCCCTCTCCAAACAGTCAGCAGAAACAGCTTGTAAAGTCGGCATGGGACTTACACAAACAAAAATAATTCCAAGCACTGGAGCTAAACCCCTTTCAGTACTCGTTTTCGACACTGTTATTTGCCCCTTGTGGATTTTTGTCCAACTTTTCACATTCTGAGCGGCAGTTGAGCTAACAGACGCTGGCTAGCTGACAGGCTAGCACGACAGCAGCCGCAGCGGGCAGTTCAACTGTGACCTGCCTGTGGCGGTCACAGTTGCCGGGAGCTCTTTGCATCGTTTGTCAGTGTGTATTAGCCGGCCGGCATCCAAGGCATGCCTTTCTAAAATTCCACAGCATATGAGATAAACAACATATGCTGTTAGAGCTGTCTGAGGTGAAACGAGAAGTAAACAACTGGAGCTGCTGCACCAAAGGGAGTAGCGCTCAGCTGTAAGAACAAACTGTACTACGAGCCCGTGCGCAACAAAGATCTCACATGACCAAGATGGTTCACTCCTCAGCTGTTTTCAGGAACCATGTACAGTGAAAAATATAAAATTTTACAACAATACGAAGGTTTTACCACAACATTTAT